TCTTTCAGAATTGTAGAACCTAAGCCAAGAGTCATCAGCAGGGAGCAGACGAAACCCCGCAAACCAACCTCAGGATTGTTTCGCTGGTACAGCAGTTCTCGAAAGGGATCACGTAGCCAACTTCATGACCAATGTTAACATCCATTTCATCCGCCACCCGCAGAGCAAGCTGGACCACAGTCTGCTTGTGGACCTGGGTGCATATCACGCCCCCGTGCTGGTAGTGGATGGAAAGGCAATATTCAGCACACCACTGAGGAACCTGTAATGGGGAAAACGAGACAGGATCAGCTTCTGCAGAAAACAAAATGAGAGACAGCTCTGTCTTACAGCAGGGTTCATCTTATAAGTGATTTTTTTCTTTCATCAGTAAATCAGCAGTGAGCTGTATTAAATCTTATTGAGTGAAACTCTGAGCAATATGGATTATTCACAGAGTTACTGCTAGGAAATAAAGTTAAGAATAAACAGGAGTTAACAGGGACTGTGAAAGTTTGACTCACAGACAAAAAAAATGGCAGATAAAAATCAAGGGCAAAATAAAAAAATACTTTCAACCTCAACTGCTTCTGAAAAGACTAATGTATTCAGAGATTATCATTTTCTTTTTGGTTAGAAGAAAGGCCCATCAAAAATATGGCTTCTGTTATCAGCTATTGTGTTTTAAGCGATGTAAATTACAGATAGCATTTAGATAAAAAATAGTGACTCAAAATTAAAGCATATACATTTAAATCCAAATGATCATAACGAATATCCAAATAAACCTACTTAACATTTCCCCAATTTAAAAAACCTAAAATATACTGATAATTTACCATCTAAATATAATTAAATAAATAAACCCATCTAAATAAACCCAGTGAGATAATCAACCAACCCACCTAGAATTGGAAAGCGTCGATTCCAAGCAAAGCTGCTCTAGGGCCATTTTATTTTAAAAATCTTTTTTTCTAAAATACATTGTAGACCAGCTGATGTTTACCACATTAATTTGTACAAGAATTATTATATAGAATGTACTAAATTCATTTGTTGCTCCAATCTTAAGGCACTGTCAGTAAATTATGCATTGTTACATGTATTTAAAAAATAAGTTATTCCAAGTGTGTTTTTAATAGATCTAAGGTATTTAAACATTGTAAAATTTCTAATTATCTTGAGGTTTGCTACTTATGAGATTCATTAGGAAATTCTTAGATCTGATTCCTCACTGCAATTTGAAAAATAAACATAATTCACCAGAAATACAAGTAACTCCAAAATGACTGACTAACTGCTGGAGACTGCAAATTTCTAATGACTGAAAGGCAAATGCACTGCCTGCATTTGAAGACAGGTGTCAGCCTTGTCAACAGGTTGAAATTTATCAGTAATTATGTACTCAACGCTTACTTTGTTCTATGAAAGATGAAAGTGTAAGATACTGCACTCAGGAAACATGGAATCAAGGCAAGACCCAGGAACAGCAAGTCACCTAAGGGACTGGCTTGCCATTAATTTGTTCCCTGTAAACCACACATTTTCTAAGCTTTAGTTTTCTTACCTGTAAAATGAATGGATTGAATGAATGCGATTATCCTTCAAGTCTGAACTGTGTGGTTTTCTCTGCAAGGCCTGCTGTGATTCCCTAAGTATCTAGATCCACGGTGTGCCTCCCACCGTGGCAGGATCACCTTTCTGGGGTTGTCTGTCTGGTCCTAGTTCCCCCACTACCCAACAGCCCCTCAAATGAGCTCTACAAGCAGAGACCTACCTGTTTTGTTCACCAAATAAACCTAGTACTCAGTAAATATTTGTTGAATGAATAACTTCTTATACATTCCAGAAATAATTTAAAATTCTATGATTCTACGTAAGAATTTACATAAAATTTTGTCTCCTTTAATCTGTAGCAAGTAATTTTTTATTCTTGCCAAATCCTGACTTTTAAACTGACTGCCTTCATGTCAGGGTCCAGTATCTAGGGTCCCTAGCCAAGACCTCAAACATTATTCATGTGAAAAGCTGTATTAAACCACTTATTTTTAAAAAAATTTTCTTTAGGATGGGCATAGTGGCTCATGCCTATAATCCCAGCAATTTGGGAGGCCAAGGAGGGTGGATCACCTGAGATCAGGAGTTCAAGACCAGCCTGGTCAACATGGCAAAACTCTGTCTCTACTAAAAATACAAAAATTAGCTGGGTGCGGTGGCATGTGCCTGTAGACCCAGCTATCTGGGAGGCTTAGCCAGGAGAATAACTTGAACCCAGAAGGTGGAGGCTGCAGTAAGCTGAGATTGTGCCATTGCACTCTAGCCTGGGTAACAGAGCAAGACTCTGTCTCAAAAAAAAAAAAAAAAATTCTTTAATAGAGGCAGGGTCTCACTATATTGCCCAGGCTGGTCTCAAACACCTGGTCTTAAGTGATCCTTTTGCCACAGCCTCCCAAATTGTTGGGATTACAGATGTGAGCCACTGTGCCCAGCCAAAAGCACCTGTTTGAATCTCTGTCTCCCCACTATGTGGGAAGATCCTTAAAACTATACATGTGTGGTGTCCATTTGTTCCCAATACTAAACAGAGGACCTGACATATGGCAGGGATAATATTTGAGTGGAAATATGGATAAGGACATCATCATAATTGAAGAGAGAGAAAGGCTTGGGCTCAGTGCTAAGCATGGAGAGAGGTAATAAAACCACAGGAAAATTACTGCAAAGGAAGAATAAGCAGTACCCATTGACAAACTAATTATGCATAGGAAGAAAACAAATATTCTATGATTTCTGACTTAAAATACTAATTATATAATTTTCAAGAACAGGAAATTGGAAAGTAAAATACAATAAATGAATGAAGATAAAAGCAGCATAAAGTTCTTTTGGGGGAATAAGGAGTTAGGAGGGGAGGAAGACCACCTTCAGGAGAGTCAGGAAGACGGTCAGTGTTACTGGAAGAACATCCAGGCATAACTATCCTGGGATCAATGGAAAAGCAAGGCAGGAGCCTAAGACAAAGATCAGAGATAGAGATGGGCATGGCAGTCACAGAATTTGAGTACTGAAAGAAACCTCTGGAAGACATAAAGGCCAACACCCTCATTTTATACATGAGGAAAGAAACTTAGAGACATGACTTGTCAGGTCATTTGTCAGTAAACAGCATGACAAACACCAATCCACATCTTCTAGTTTCTTGGGAAGTGTAATTTCCACTACATCACAGTTGCTTCTAAGCATCTTTATACAAAGGTGGCAACTGAAGCCATGAGATTCTCAGGTAATCAGCATTTTAAATTACTCTTTCTAGGCCGGGCGCAGTGGCCAATGTGATGGCTATCTCTACTAAAAGTATAAAAATTAGCCGGGCGTGGTGGCTCAAGCCTGTAATCCCAGCACTTTGGGAGGCTGAGGCGGGTGGATCATGAGGTCAAGAGATCGAGACCATCCTGGTCAACATGGTGAAACCCCGTCTCTACTAAAAATACAAAAAATTAGCTGGGCATGGTGGTGCGTGCCTGTAATCCCAGCTACTCAGGAGGCTGAGGCAGGAGAATTGCGTGAACCCAGGAGGCGGAGGTTGCAGTGAGCCGACATCGCGCCATTGCACTCCAGCCTGGGTAACATGAGCGAAACTCCGTCTCAAAAAAAAAAAAAAAAAAAAAAAGTATAAAAATTAGCCAGGCGTGGTGGTGGGTGCCTATAATCCCAGCTGCTAGGGAGGCTGAGGCAGGAGGATCACTTGAACCCAGGAGGTGGAGATTGCAGTGAGCTGAGATTGTGCCACTGCACTCCAGCCTGGGCAACAGAGCGAGACTCTGTCTCAAAAAAATAAAAATAAATAAATTACTCTTTGAAGCCTAATGGCAATATCAGGGGACAGTACTATGACGACAGTGAACACTGCTTTACATAGATAGAATTGTTGCTGAAATAATACTATCCAGTTTTATTGAAACACTTGGACATGTTCAGCCTGGTTACTCATGTAAGGTCCGGGATAGCTGCTTTCAAACTCAAACTGGACAGAATTCCAATGATCATGTGCCATGTTCTCAAGCTTCTGATTTGGGCCTTTTTGAAAAATTGCATTTAATCCATTTCTCTTTACTCATGTAAACAAATTCTGCAAGATTAGTTTATTATAGTATGTCGATAATGGTCTAAACATTATACATGCCTGGAAGTACAACAAATATACCAATCCAACAGTCTTCATTTTCCTTCTCTGCCCTCCTCTACATTAGAGCAAACTATTTTACTTAAGAGGCAAAGAAATTAATTCAGAAATGGAAAAAGGCCTTTTAGATATCAGTTAAAATAACCAGAAGACTGAACAGATCCATATTGTGCTTAATGTAGGAATGTTTGCTTATGTGGCCAAGTTAACAGTTGAGCAGAAGTCACAACAAATTATAGTACACCTACTCAACTGTGGTTCTGACCACAGGATCAGCTCCTCTTCCAGTAATAGCTACTCAGAGACAGTTAACAGTAAGCAATGCAAACACAAACTGAAAAGGTTATCTCTAGCCAGAAAAGAGAGAAACATGAAACCATCCGCCTCATTTGTTACAGTTCTATAGTTTCACACGCCTCCCGAATCACTCTAAGCAAGCTAAGCAACATACCAAGGGTGGATTCCTTAGCAAACTTGAATTATAGGCTGAAAAAAGTTACGATTTGGCAAATGTCGGTAATTTGAATATTTCGCATTTCAAGGGATACTGAGATTGCAGCTTTACAAAGAACTCTTGCCTTCTCTGCATTTAAATATTGTATCTATTGTTGGCGCTGCCCTTTCTTGCCCTAATTCTGCTTCTCTTCTGGGTACTACTTAGCAGCTTTTTCATTGTCCCAGTAGCATCTTTTTCTTCTCACCAATGAATTGCATGTCTGTTAGAGGTTTTGTTTCTGCTCCATGGTTCCTCTTTGGAAGACATTTCCCGCTAGTATTCCAAAACATTTTTCTGGATGGACTAGTTGCCAAGTTGGCATTATGGGAATTAGGAAAGCTTAAATAGCTGTACCTTTTTTCTATGAATCATTTGGCTTTAGCTTTTTTCAGAGAAACATTGAATTCTGGGTCACTTTGTGACTGAGTACTTAGGAAAAGTTGCACAATACGGTGAAGAAACAGAAAACTGCTCCTCTAACACATAAAAAAAATGTCCATTTTCACAACGATTTATCTGGGAGTTTGGTCATGCGCAACCCTCAGATTTATATGTTTAGTCTGGAAATGCTCCCTAACTAGAAATCAATACTTCACATCTTTTTATTCTGAACTCACCAAATGCTTTTTTCATGTTTCTCCATCCATTTTCTAAATGCAGTTTCCTGTACTTCTGATGTGCCATTTACATAAAGCCTAAGCAGGGGTCCTGCGTATGCTGTGTCCCAAAGCTCAGCTGGAACCAACTCTGGGGCATACAAGGTAAGCAATCAAGGCATAGGAGCATCCCTGGCCTCTTACCTCCTGCCTGAAAGGAAATCACCAACACTCTGGCCAGTCTGCTGCTATGAGAGGTAAGAGGAGTCCTGCAGGTAATCAAAATCTAATCTAAATCAAGGCTTTATCAACCTAAGTTAGCAACTGCAGTTCTACAACTTGTACAAATTCAGACAGTGAAGCAAAGACGCTCCATTTCTGACTCCAGGCAGCACACAGAGGTTGGGCTGCTGGATTTAGGAGAGCCGGGGTTTGGGGTCTTTAGGGTGGGCTGCAGGGAGATCTCCTGTAAGAATCTGTAACCAGATGCAGATCAGAATCAAGGGGGCAGCAGCAGCATCACATATCCCATGTGTGGTCTCATCACTGCCACTGTGGCAAGAGGACATCCACGTGAGCTACACTAGTGCAGAACTTTCTGTCCTTTCTATCTACTGTCGGTGATTGTTTCATCTCATCTAATGGATAACATAGTTAAATATAATTTAATATAGTTAAATGAGAATAAATGAAGTGAGAAAAAAAGGACCTCCATGAGACACAATGCTACTAGTATTCTGAGAAACACATATTAGTCCCAAAGGCCTCCACTCCCTCACTTTATATCATCAGTATGTACATAAGGGCCCAATTCCTCTTCTGCTTTCTTCTCTTAATGTCTCTAGGACCACCAATCTTGAAGCTACTGCCAAGGTCCCACTCACTCACTTTCATTTCAGTACCAGAATAACAGAATCCACAAGTTGAAAAAAAATCTGAAGGGCCACCAATTCACCCAAAGGTATGACTCCCTTCAACCACATTCCTGCAAAATGCCTATTCCAGAGTGTGCCCCTCAGGCAGCCATCCCACCCAAAGTGAGCCATATAGCAGAACCGATTACTGAGGAGTTAGGCCCTTTCTGAATCAAATGTCACACATCCCTGGATAATAAAATTCACATTTATCTTGGTTTTGAGTGGATACAGGTAGAGCCTACCAACAGAAAATGGTGAACAAGTTTACTCAGTCAATAAAGGTAGAGGTGTTCTAAGCCATACAGCTTCTTAATCTAAGTTGATTCTTGGTTATTTCATGTTTATTCACCTCACTGCCCCATCCATTCATGGGAAATTTCAGGGCAAAAGCTAGGGAAGGAGAAACAAGCAAAATAGACAGTTCTAGAAATGTTTCTCTCTCTTTCAGGATCTTTCATAACCTGTTCGCAAAAAACGTAATAGGAAAAGACTCTATAAACATATGGAAAATTGTCCTCTGTTTCCCTGGGGCAGACATAAAATAGACTTCATAATTTCTGCACCAAAGAGAGATGAAATCTTTAGGACCTTTGTAAACCTTGGGTCTGAAGAAAAACGTTTTTCATGAAAGGTTTAAAACTCCGAGGAACAAGAAAACAGTCTTGCAAAATCTTAAAACAACAACAGCAGCAGCAACAACAAAAACCAAATTGCTTCCAGAAGAAAATAACCAATGCTCCCACTATCTAAAGTAGTTTAGAATAGATCCATTTTCTTATTGAGTACTACTTTGATTTCTCTCACCTTGAAGATACATGTCATCCCAATTAACAGAAAATAAACATGAATTTATTGAAATAATTGAGAAATTAAAAATGACAACAGAAACCATTGCTAGGCACTAATATAACATATTATATATGTAATAATTCTTGCTCTTGAAGTTGATGAATTCTGAAAGAAAAATCAAGAAGTATATTAGAAATTTTTTTTTTTTTTTTTTTTTTTTTTTTTTTTTTTTTTTTTTTTTTTTTTTTTTTTTTTTGAGACGGAGTTTCGCTCTTGTTACCCAGGCTGGAGTGCAATGGCGCGATCTTGGCTCACCGCAACCTCCGCCTCCTGGGTTCAGGCAATTCTCCTGCCTCAGCCTCCTGAGTCGCTGGGTTACAGGCACACGCCACCATGCCCAGCTGATTTTTTGTATTTTTAGTAGAGACGGGGTTTCACCATGTTGACCGGGATGGTCTCAATCTCTTGACCTCGTGATACTGCAGTGTGGATTAGCAATTCTGAAACTACAATATGAGTTGTTTGTTCAAGTATCTTTACTTGTTCAATCTTACAACAAAGTGTGAATAATGCCAAGTCCTGTTTCTCATAGAGAAGTTATTAATGTGAAAATTGGGAAGGCTAGAATAAATCCTGTAATCCTAACTGGAAGCAGAGGCATCTGTACAAACTCATGGTTTTTAAGACATAAAAAGATAGATAAAAAATATGAGAGGTAAGAAAATAGAAATACATAGAAAGAAATAGAGAAAGAGAGAAACAGCTAGAGAGACAGAGAAATACAGCCACAGATAGATGGATAGACAGATAGAATGAGATGTGTGTGTACTGTACTCGCATACATTTATTTCCTTGTTGTGTCCACTGAGATGGCCTAAAAACAATGACAGGCTGGGCACAGTGGCTCATGCCTGTAATCCCAGCACTTTGGGAGGCTGAGGCAGGAAGATTGCTAGAGCTCGGGAGTCTGAGACCACCCTGGGCAACATGACAAAATCCTGTCTCTACAAAAGATAGTTGAGTGTAGTGGCACACACCTGTATTCCCAGCTACTCTAAAGGCTGAGGTGGGAGGATCGCTTGAGCCCAGGATGTCAAGGTTGCAGTGAGCCATGATTGTGCCATTGCACTGCAGCCTGGGTGACAGAGCAAGAACCTGTCTCAAAAATAAAAATTAAAAAAGCAATAAACCAATGGTAATCCGTATACTTTGTGTCCAGATGTTGGTTTCAAAACACAGTTCACCACTAAAAGGAACCAGGACTGCTGGAGAAAAAAATGGTTTTACTGGGCTGGCATGGGGAATGTACTAGATGAACCTGGAACATCTTACTGAGCCAGAAAGCAAAGAAGTGCTCAGAAATAATGGGGAAATGTCAAAAGGACAGAGAAGTGACATCAGGGGCAATTTAAACAACAAAGTAGGCTTAGTAATACATTATAACACACAGAATAAAATAAAAATTTATGAGTCCACATTGACATAAATAAATGATGAAAGAGAGAAAGTGCAGCCTTACAGAAAAATTCTAAATAATGTATAAAAGACATGTCAGAATTAGAACAATCATCTTTGGTTACTACTAATGTAATGATTCAAAGGTAAGAATCACTAAAAATGCTAACACTAGTGGATGAATGTGAAACTGCCTTTGCAGAAATTGTAACAGTGAGAAAATTATGACGGTAAAGGAGATCTGACTTGACCCAATTCCATCTTGCCTTTCACCCTCAAACTGCCCTTAGCCATTCCTGCAGTGAGCCAAGCTAACTTTTGGAGACATTTATAGTTTAAATGCTAGTGAAATGAAACGACCTTTGTAAAACTAATGAAAGGACACCAAGTTAGGAGGATGAGAGAGGCCTGAATGCTGCCAAGATGTAGGTGTAGTTAAATGATTATCAGTCATTATTCCAGAGGTCACAAGATTTGTAACTTCCCTGTAAATAACATCACTACTATAGAACCTAAGATTGGCCTTCTAAGATGTCTTTTTAGGTTTTTGCATTTCTGAAAACTGGATGGTTCTCTGCTGTCCCTACCTGGAAGTGGACTTAGCACATGAGGACTGTTTTCCACACCTCTATGGGTACATCCTCAGCCAATCAACAGTACCCATTCCCTGGCCCCCTGCCCACCAAACAATCCTTGAAAAGCCCTAGCCTCCAAACTGACAAAGAGGCTGATTTGAGTAATAGTAAAACTCCTGTCTTCTGTTTGGTCAGCTCTATGTGTATTAAATTCTTTCTCTATTCCAATTCCCTTGTCTTGATAAATTGGCTGTATCTGGACAACAAGCAAGATGAACCTACTAGATGGTTACAAATGTATAATGAGAAACATATTTACACAGTATCAAAATATGTATCTATTAAATGATTGTAGAGAAATTATTAACTTTTCAATAAAGAACCAGGCAGACACCATCTTACCAAGTGATCAGATTTAACAACACCAGCATGGGCAAAACTGACATTTTGTGCCTCCTGATATGAGGCACTTAGAAGGATGCACAGCACTTGTGTGGTCTTCTTGCCACAAATGCAGAGCCTGAACTTAACCCTAAAGAAACACTGGACACATTCAAACTGAGGGACATTCTACAGAATAACTAACCTGTGCTCTTCAAAAATATCAAGGTCATAAAGGACAAGGAGAGATTAGGGAGTTGTTTCAGATTAAAGAAGACTTTAAAAAATGGCAATAAAATGCAATGTAATTTTGGATTGAATTTTGGGCCAGAAAAACAATTTTTTTTCTGTGATTATAAAGGCTATCAATGAGAAACTGATTAAATGTGAATGTCTAGAAATTTGATAATAATTATACATCAACATTATATTCCAGATTTTTATAATTACGTTATGGCTATGCACTGTTTTTCAGTAAATATTCTGTTAAGTATTTGGAGCCAAAGGGCATCATGTCCTCAAATGACTCCTAAATGGTTCAGAATAAAAATGTGTAAGAATGTATCAGGGATAAAATAATAAAGTTTATATGGTAAAATCTTACATTTGGGAACCTGGATGAAAAATACATGGAAAACCTTTGTACTATTTTTGCAACTTTTTGTAAGTTTGAAATTATTGCAAAATAAAAAGTTTTTTCAATGCTATTTGTTCACAGCAACTAGGAGAATTATACTCATTCAGTTCTCATCATTAGCTTCTTGTGATGAACTGAAATCATTTGTTATAACAATAACTCAGCATAACAAAGAACAAATCATAATAAACCCTTGATACTGGCAGCTGTAAATTAGATAAAAAACATCTGTTGTCCAGCCCTCCTCTTTTCAAAATTACCTATAAAATAAGTAAACTTCAGGCCAGGTGCAGTTGCTCATGTCTGTAATCCCAGCACTTTAGGAGGCCAAGGTGGGGGGATCACTTGAGCCCAGGAGTTCAAGACCAGCCTGGCCAAAATGGTGAAACCTTGACTCTCCTAAAAACACAAAAATTAGCCAAGCATGATGGTACAAGCCTGTAATCCCAGCTATTCAAGAGGCTGAGGCACAAGAATTGCTTGCACCTGGCAGGTGGAGGTTGTAGTGAGCCAAGATTACGCCACTGCATTTCAGCCTGTGTGACAGAGCAAGACTCTGTCTCAAAAAATAATAACGATAATAAAATAAAAAAACTCTAGAGGTAATAAACAACTTGGAAGCAGCAGTGTATAGTGGAAAGTATTCTTTTAATCCTAATTCAGGAAGCCACTGGCATTAGATAAATTATCAAATCCCTCTGGGCCACAGTTTATTCATCTGAAAAATAAAGGGGTTCCATCAGATTTGAGTTCTATTCATTAGATCTATTCATAACTTCTCTATGAGAAATAGTGCTTCTCATTCCTCACACTACATGGTCTATTCTAATTCTTACATCACCAGAATTTAGAAATGAATTTCATGATAAAAATACTGTTTGCAGCCAGTGTGGTGGCTCACGCCTGTAATGCCAACACTCTGGGAGACTGAGGCGGGCGAATCATGAAGTCAGGAGTTTGAGACCAGCCTGGCCAGCATGGTGAAACCCCCATCTCTACTGAAGATACAAAAAATTAGCCAGGCGTGGTGGCACGTGCTTGTAATCGAGCTACTTGGCAGGCTGAGGCAAGAGAATTGCTTGAACCCGGGAGGCATAGGTTGCAGTGAGCCGAGATCGTGCCATTGTACTCCAGCCTGGGTGATGGGGCGAGGCTCTGTCTCAGAAAGACAAAAAAAATACTGGTTCCTTGTTTTAAAACTTAAGAGTAAAATACGGATCTCATTTGAAACAAATCTTGAAGTTCAAATACAACAACTAACTGAATATTAAGTATTTTTTAACTAATATTGGGGCTTAGGTCATGCCACCCCAAAACATGACTGAAGGAGACCAGAATATGTGACCCCAAAATATGCCTCTTTTGCACATGATTTTAAGGAAGTGCAGACATAGGAGTAGCTCTGAAAAGTGGCCTTCTGTAAGATAAATTTGTGCCTCAACTTATTGCTAGACTCAAGCAATCCTCCTGCCTCAGCCTCCCAAAGTGATAGGATTACAGGTATGAACCACTGTACCTGGCCCACTATCCTGTTAAAACAAACAAACAAAAAAAACCACTTTAATTGGGAGGCCATTAGGCTGAGGCAACTCCAGAGCTTTAAGGTCCCACGTAAGCAAACTAAAGTCCAATGTAAACAGTAAAACCATACTAGACTTTACCAATCAGAAACTGCCAACTATTCCCTGACTAGGAACTTTCTGCCCTAACCAATTAAAATGTCTTTTGTCTTACATTCACGTTCAGCCTATAAAAGCTCACCGCCCTTGCTGCTGCAATGGGGCTCACTAACCTCCAATGGTTCAGAGTGCTGCCCAATTCATGAGTCACTCTTTGCAAAGAAATAAACTCTTTCCTTTTTTTTCTCTCTTTTGAAACAAGGTCTTACTCACATCGCCCAGGCTAGAGTGTAGTGGCATGATCATGGCTCACTGCAGCCTCAACTTTCCAGGTTCAGGTGATTCCCTCACCTCAGCCTCTGGAATAGCTGAGATGACAGGCATGCAGCACCATGCCGGCTAATTCTTTGTAGAGATGGCATTTTGCCATGTTCCCCAAGCTGGTCTCGAACTCCTGGGCTCAAGTGATCTGCCCACCTTGGTCTCCCCCAAAGTGCTGGGATTACAGATGCGAGCCACTGTGCCTTGTCCAACTCTTTAATATTTTAATATCCCTAGGTTTATCTCTTAATGATCCTAATTCTTTCCCCCGTCTTAGACCCCAAAGTGTATGGCCCCAGGCCTGGATCATATTTGGTTGCTCAGTTATTTCTTATGGTCAGGAAAATCACGATTTCCTTGTGCTTTTGATTTCAGTAGCTCAGCCACCTTCACCAATAAGCACATCCACATACCTGGATTCTCAGACCACTGGGCACTGAAACACAGCAGTTAATCCCCATACCCATGGCAGGGAAATAACACACATCACATCTTTTAAAATATAATATACACAATTAGATCATTTCAGTAATTTTAATATTATTCTAGAGAAAATTTAGTGGTACCTTAAACACAATTAATTTCCATATAGATATTATTTACTTTTCAGCTAGAATTAATAAAATTAGGCAAGTGATTTAATTATTTTATCTGAATTAATAATAATGTTTTGTTTTAGATATTGTCATTAGAATACTAGGCTGTGACATGTAATTATTTAATACTTTAAAAATCAACATATAAAGCAAATAATTTTTGTAGTGGTTACTCACCTGAGAGCTCTTGCCACATTTGGCATCTCCTGAGACAATCACGATTTGATTTTGAAGCAGGTTCTCCATAAAGGAGTATTTTTCTTTCCATATAGGAAGATCTTCTCTTTCCTTCAAAAGTTTATAATAACGTGATGAATACGGCAATCCATCAAAGGGGTTAAGTTCCAAATCCTCACAGGCCAAAACCCCTTCCTCGTCCCCATCGCTGGAATCCAGGGATTCAGGAAAATAGCGTTTTTCAGAGGAAGAGTTCGGACACTGCAGCTCTTCTTCTTCCATTTTGTCCAATAGTGAGCTCATGCAGCTGACATTCCACAAGCAAGTTTCTCCTATCAGTAACCCACTGCAAACAGGGCTTAAAAGCCTATTTATACAAACCCATATGTCTCAATCTCTAAGACTTCAGTTCAAGGTTTTCGCAAGTTAAATTCCTCAAACCTGCATCTGTTCTTCATTGCTGTTACCCACTGTGCTGGCCCACTACAGCACTCTTCGGCATTGTAAATGATTGTCAATAAACCACACTAAGAAACAAACACAAAGAGTAAGGAAAATTAGGAACACATACAAGTTAAAAAGAAAATGCATAGGCATTCAAATGAAAAGCATTCTTATTTTTTTTCTGTTAACAGGTTTCGTCATTTCTGCTGCCTGCGTAAAAGAACAGGAATAATTTAGGCTGGTGTTTAAAGTTTGGTCGGTTCCAGTATTTCCTGGCTGGTTCAGAAAATGATTCTGCACTGGGCCTCGTGCTCTCTGCCTGACCTCTGAGTCTTGATCAACTGTGAATGGAAAGCAACAGGAGGGACAGGATTGTGATTGTGAGGCTAATCAATCACGTGGTCACCTAATCCCATGTCAAAAGAGGAGCTGGACCCTATAAAAGGAAAGAACTGTGAAGGCCTGGTGAGTGTTCCTCTAACACTGCCTATAGGAAAGTCTATTATTAAGAAATCCTTCAGTTTAATGAAAAACATTTTTAAAACTTTTCATTTTGCTTTTGCTTATGTCAGTCTAGAAAGCCAAGTGAGGGGAATGAATTTATTATTTCCTTCCATATATGGTTATGGCTGGTTATTTATTTATTTATTTTTATTTAGAGACAGGGTCTCACTCTTTCACCCAGGCTGGATGCAGTGGAGCGATCATGGCTCACTGCAGTCTCAACCTCTCAGGCTCGCGTGATCTGCATGCCTCAGCCTCCTGAGTAGCTGGGACTACAGGTGTACACCACTATGCCTAGCTAATTTCTGTATTTTTTTTTTCAGAGATAGAGTTTTGCCATGTTGCCCAGGCTAGTCTCAAACTCCTGGGCTCAAGTGATGTGTCCTCCTCAGCCTCCCAAATTGCTGGGATTACAAATGTGAGCCACCATGCCCAGCTGGCTGGCTTGTCCCAAGCAGAGTTCTTAAAAATTCATCTGAAAGCCAGTGTTTCAAAATTAAAATGGAATTATAAAGGCATAAGAGAAATGTAATATGGATTCACTTTGAACTCTTCACTGCCTCATAAGGTGACAGTAGACCCACAGAATGGAAGCATGGTACCTTGAGATCACAGCACAAACTAACTTTGGGAAGGTATCCAAAAATCAGAAAATTCTACTGCTTAAGAGAAGTTAAAATTTAATTTTATATTCAATTTTTCTTTTGTTCTGATTAGAATCCCTTCCAAGGGTTCTCAGCCTACATGTAAATTAAATTGCTATTAAATATTATAACCAATGATTGCCTTAGGTACTATTTCTCAACTGTTTTACCTTAAAAAAAGAACAGCTATTATTTTTACCAAATAGAAATGTTTCCCTTAATTTATAATACTCCCTAAGAGTGTAATAATCTTATAATTACAGTAAAATCTTACTTATAAAGCATTGATCACTTTGAACCCTGAGGAAATAATCAAGTTTTCTAAATAATCTTCTTTCTAAAGACCTGAGACTTACCTGGCCCCTTCATCACACATTATGCAATGTATCCACACACATTAGCCTTACAATTTCTCTGTTATCGTGGAATTAAAGATGGCCACAGATTATTTGCCACTGCTCCAAATGGAGAGGTAGAATCTACTTCCTCTCCCGCTGAATCTGAGCTGGCCCTGTGACTCACTATGACCAAAAGAATGCAGTGAAGTGATACTGAATCACTTCCAAGATATTCCCATGCTTGAAACACTCCCCTTTGGAACCAGCTGTTATTCTGTGGGGTACCCAAGCCCAAGTCACCAGGAAGAGACCAAAGCTGAACTTCCAGTCCACAGCAGCACAAATCTCCAACCATGTGAACAAGCTGTCTAAGACGGGCAGACCAGTCGAGCCTCCAGATGACTGCAACCCCAGCCAACACCACACTGAGCAGAAGCAGCACCCACAGTAGCCAACACAACCCAAAGTATCATGAGAGATAACAAATAGTCACTGTTTTTGTAAGCTACTAATTTCCAGGGTGGTTTGACTTCCAGAAACAGGTAACCAAATTTCTGCCTTCTTAAATAAACTATACTCACAATTTAACTTTTTCATCATGACTCAAAGTCACCATTACATCAGTTACCAAAACAGAATAATATCCTCAGATGTCTCTGAAATCTACAGAGACCAAAGACCAGACTGCTGCCCTGGAGCCCTGCTCTTCTCTGGGGACTCAGAACCCATGCCGCAGTGTGGCACCTTATCTTGTGAGGCTCTTCTCTGCCTTTCTAATCTCCTCTCCTAATCAGTGCATTAGAAGCCACACAAGCCTGTTTGACAGACATATTTGTAAAGCTTGAATCCACAAAGGACTCTACCATCGAATCCAACAAGTCTAAGGGGCAAAGCTATGACATTTATAGACTTTGGAACATCTATTTCGACTGCTCAGAGGGACTTTTTGCTGCTATATGGTTTGGATTCCAGATTTGAAGGGTGGAGTGGCTGAGACCCAACTAGAGGCTGAGTTTTGGGCCCCCTGACTCCAGTACACCTCTTCTCATTCATACACCTCTCCTCATTCATCTTGCAACTGGGGTAAGCCATGTAAATGTTTTTTCCTAGAGGTAATTAAATAGGCACAAAAGATCCACGTCTTGGCCTTTGACAAATTTGACAGTACTAGTCTAAAGAAAGAGAAACAAATAATATAGTAGGTTAGATGTCACTCAAAATAAAGTTTAATAACTGTTTTCAGTATAAACTACATTCTACTATAAGAAATTTAAATCTGAAAAACTGACATTTGCTCCTTTCAAAGCTATCATACTTGTATATTGTAGACTGTATACTTTGTCAAGGAAAGCCAATTGAAATGAATCTATTACAGCTCTTAAACAAGCATCCACGAAAATAATACATATCTAATTAACAGACATCCTTAACAAGGTAGATTCAGAAGTCAATGTAAGATGAAGCTATGTCTTAGTCATTTATGTGTTTGGCTCTGGTCCAGTTATTCTAGAAATACAGTTCACAGAAATGGAAAGGCAAAGTTTGCAAGACATGAAGTGAAGCAAAAGCATTAATTTGTCCTGAGTAACTTCTTATGTTTCACCATTTCAGTGCTCCTCTTTCGTGTTTTTTTTTGTGTGTGTGTGTTCAAGTCAATATTACTGCACAATTTTCACCTATCAAATTCCCAAATACACAATGTTAGCACTTGGTAGATATCTGGAAGTTTCCCAATGTCTAGTTCCTGGACCTCTCTTCTCTTTTCTCTCTTTAACAGGGCCTGAGTAGTCTCATCTCATCTCACGGCTTCAGTGCCACCCATATGCGGATGTATGGGCTATATGTCCTCAGGACCCACTGATCTAAACTTTAGTCTCGTATTCAACTACCTATACATCATCTCCCACTTGAATATTTCATAGGAAACTCAGGCTTTACATGCCTGCAACTGAGCTCCCAACATATACTCCAAAGCCACAAAGCTGGTGTCTCCAATCTCAGTTAATTTCTTCCTGGCAATTGCTCAGACCGAAATATTTGAACCCTTGATTTTTCTCTATCTTAAATCCCACATCTGATCGTTCAGCTGGTGCGGTATGTAGAATAGCCTCCAGAGATGTGCATGTAGGAATCCCTGGAACCTATGAATATGTACTTTGCATGGCAAAAGGGACTCTGCAGATGTGATTAAATTAAGAACCTTGAGATTGGAAGATTATCCTGGACTATCCTGGTGAGCCCAATCTAATTACATGAGTCTTAAGATCAGAGGACCTTTCCTAGTCATAGCCAGAGGAAAATATGACTATGGAAAAAGATCAGAGGGATGCAATGTTGCAGGCTTTGAAGGTGGAGGAAGAGGCCACAGCCGAAGAATGATGTGGGTGACCTCTAGGAGCTGGAAAAGGCAAGGAAACAGATTCTCTCCTAGAATTTCCAGAAAGGAACACAGTCCTCCTGGTACCTTGATTATAGCCCAGTGAGACTGACAAATGACTTCTGATCTACAAAGCTGTAAGACAATAAATTAACACTTGATTTGTGATTATTTCTTAATTTCTTATCGACTGCATACTTTGTCAGCTTTCTTACAGGAGCAATAGAAAACTAATATATTCAATCGTGTCAGTTCTGCCTTCAAAAAATATCAACCCATAACCTCTACTGTGAACCCTTGGTCCAGCCACTATCCCCTCTCAGCTGGATTACAATAGCCTCCTAACTGGCCTTCCTCTTCTACCCTTATCCCCATATAGTCAAGTCTCGACCCTGCAGTCAGAGTTATCCTGTTACAGTCAGCTCATATCTCCTCCAGTCAAATCTCCAATGCTTCCCATTTCATCTCACTCTGAAGATGAGGACCAACAATCCCTGTATGATCTGGAGCCATCGCCTCTCCGCCCTCCTTTGCAACAGCTCCTTTACTCAGTGTTCCCTAGCCTTACGGCTCCCTTGCTATTCCTCAAACACCATGACATATCCTGCCTCTGGGACTGGTGCTTACCCTTCTGTATGCATGAAATGTTCCCTCAGATATCAAAACAGCTAGCTTCCTCACTGCATAAAGGTCTTCACCAAATGTCACCTCAGTAAGAGCTTCCCTGGCCCCCTCTATCTAAACTTTTACCACTCTCCCGCACCACTAGAAACCACTTCCTAACCTCTTTAACTGCTTCATTTTTCCTCCTTAACACCACCACCTAACATAATATATATATATCTTTTCCTTCTTTGTTTTGTTTTCTGTTCACTGGAAATGTGAGCTCCACCGAAATGTGAGTTCAATGAAGCAAGGGTTAGTGTCTCCACGGCAGTCTACCTTGCATACAGTTGCACCTTTGTTATTTCACTCTGATTTAAGTTCAAGGCAGCTTACTACTGCTGCATAGTGTTGAAACACTTCTATCAGGAATTCGCGGTTTCTGGATTTACGTGACTTTTTTGTTCCCTTTCATTTATGATATACGATAGAGTCTTGCTATGCTTAGAATTCTTTAAGACTTACAAACCCACAAACTGGAATATTTGTAGAGGCTCTTGGTCTTCCCTTGAATCATACACCCAAACCCCAAATTAACTCCTTTTCAACATTTATTTAAGCTGCTTTCTCAGGATCAATTCAGAAGAGTTATCATGTTGCAGCGTGACAAAGCTGCACTGAAATTCATGTATCATGCTCTAGCAGATCACTGATCTTTTTGGGACTGCTTGCAAATTATAGATACTGAGGAGGCAACATCCTCAAGTACGAGGGGACTCTTGAACCATTTGTAACTAGTGATTATCTTTACCCCATGTCTTTCTCTTTACTTACACTGTTACTGGAGCTATACTTTCTTCACTGGTAATTTCTACTCTTAAATCCAAATATAGTGGGTGCGTAATTAACAATTATGGGCTGAGTAATAATGAATAAATAATGAATGAATCATGTTCTGTCCTTTAGGGATTTTATGCTTTTTAGAGCAAGATCTGATTGTATTTTATCAACATCATTCACAATCTAATAGGTTTTCTGTGTCCTCAGGTTTTCTAATCCATAATGCCTATTACCTATTCAACCAATACCTGAGTGCCTACTGTGTCTGCAATGTGAACATGGTAGGAAGATAATTTGAACAGGCAGGTCTGGTTATGGTGGGGTGTGGAAACAGAAATTTCCACAGGGTGCAGT